AGCTATTGTGTTATAATCCTTGCAAAATACATATATATATATATATATATATATATATATATATATATATAAATCATTCTGTGAATTTGCCGACAAGAGAATTGTTAATGAGACTTTTTGAAAGGAAAAATATAGTCGATTATTGTGGTTTCGTCAATTCTGATATTTCTTATTTGGTGATAGACCAACGAGTGACATGAAATATGTATAATAGCAATAATAAAATGACCATAGAAATGTATTTCTATCGTAATTCGTAGTTTAATCTACAGAGCGTTTAGAGCATAGACGCATACAAAAAAAAAAGGCGCATAACAATAAAACACGAAATTAAAAAAAGATTTAAAAATAATTTAGGATATGGTAAAATGAATACTTAAAAATATAATTATCCTTCTTACTTTTTACTGTAAAAAATTCCAGTAATTACTATCGCTACTACAGAGAGGTAATAACGTAAAAAAGATAATTTCTTGAAATTGTTAAATATTCAAGTTACGCTAATTGTTTACACTATTGAATTTACAACTATTATTTTGTTTATTATTACCTTCACGCTTTCATTTGCCGTTTGAAATTAATTTTATATAACAATGTAAAAAATAAACACCATTTAATGTATATTGTGGTGATAATAATTTTTAATGGAGTAAGTTTTATATTACACTGCTTCATAAAATCTAAGTTTACTTTTTTACAGTCTTTTTACAGTATTACAGAAGATCTACTTTATTTAAAAATTTACAAAACTAATAAAACGATGATAATAAAAGTTAATAACGATGGCATTGTGCATATGACTCTTTTAAGGTATTACTTTCATGAAACATTAAATTTTAAAGAGAATTTTCTTTAAAAGACTTTTTTTCTCTAACTTAAGAAGATCCTTCTACTTAAAATTTATTAATTTTATTAATTACCTATTTTTATAATTATTTACACAATATTTATTCATTAGTTATATGCGTGTAAAATTACAATAAAACTTACATTATTTCATTTTTGAAATTTTTTTTCACCATATCGTTATTATTAAAATAGTATCACGTAAGCTTATAATTTATTATACTTTTTATTTGTAAATTCTTCCATTTTATTAATTCTATTTATTTATTTATTTATTTATTTATTTTTTTTTTTTATTTTTTTTTTAAATTAATGTCACATTCTTAATTATCAAGAAATTCACAGGATAATTTAGAATATATATTTGGTATTTAAGTATTTATCTTTTGACGATCTTTTAATTCCACAACATATATTATGTAAAATGTTGATTAAAAATAATATTTGCCTTTTTTGAAATAATATGCGTTTCATTAATATCAATTTATAATTGAAGTTATTTGAACATTTTTAATATAATTTTTTGAAAATTGACATCGACATATATTGCTGTCGTAGGATGAAATAGTTGATATATTGATAAATCGATCAATAAAGTGAAAATTCTAATAATTAAATTGAATATTTATTTATTTTTAATTACACTTAAATAAGTGCAATTCGAATAATTTCCTTAAAATACTATTTGTCAAATAATTTCTTTCTATTATCTCAATATTTAAATCACTACAATCATAAATGTTGCAAAATAGATGAGAATAATTTTTTATTGAGCAACTAACTACATTATTGATTTGTTTACTTTTCTTCGAAGAAAAGCAATTATAATAAAGCTGAAATAATGAATTTGCTTTAGATGTTTCTACCGTATTTCAGATGTTTTCTATGTATATTTTGAAAATTAAAATAAATTAGTTATCAAATGTATAACAAGTAATCATTATAAGAACAATAATTTAATATAAATTTCAGTATAAATCATTCGTATTAACATTATAGATAATCATATTATAAATATCTTAAGTAAACATAAACAAAATCTTAAACGTAAATTGCAACTTTATACCCTAATAGATAAAAACTTTATTAAACTTAAATTATCTCAATATAACTTAAAATAATCTCAATACATCAATATTTTTGTACTTATAAAAGCACTTATAAAAATTATTTTCACCAATTATTATCCATAAAATGTCATTTAAAATATGTAGAGTAATAAATATATATATTAACGTTGCCATATATTATCCATTGAATTTATTATACATAAAGTATAGATTTATATTAAAATATTTCGGACTTTCAAGTAATTAAAAAATTGTATGAGATAGAAATTGTAACAAAATGAAATGAAAATCACATTATTTTGAAAAATAACGAGTTTATGAAAATAAGGGTTTAGTGAGTCGTAAATTTATAATGTTATATTTTCTTTTAAAATTAAAACATTTTTTATACAATTATTTGCATTATTTTAAAATGCTATAATTTTAATTTCGTCAACGATATAAGATTTTTCAATTAGATCTTGTAAAGATTTCAAGAAAAAAAAATGGAAAATCTTACGACAGTGCCTTGTACAAAATAGCAAAAATTTATGGATTAACAGCCGTTGCATAATAGATTATTATCCTTATTAAAGCAGCCGAATATATCCAAAGGAAAAGGATTTTAATCTAATGATATATTTGCATTAATTATTAATGCAATTTCAATTTTGAAAGTATTAAATTCTAAAGCTGTTTCGATTAATAGCCCAATTAGACCAAAACTTGCTAGAAGTAAAGTTTAATGTGAATTTCACAACCTCTATTATTGCTATTTTATTTTTTATTTTATATATTTTTTTAAACTAAATAAATGTTAAATTAGGTTTCTGACAAATATCAAATTTACATGATAAATGAGAAACTTAACGTCTTTACTTCATAAATTATCGTACGTATCTCGTAGCTTTCAATGTACCACGAGGTATATTTAAAAAAATATTCCTCCCACGCATAGTCATGGATTATTGTGTAATTGAAAAATTAACAATGTAAATTAAGTATATTAAGTATACATAGAAATTACGGCCTATTGTTAAAAATTAATTATTCTAAATTAATTTCGAGAAAGAAAATGTGTTAATATAAATTTAGCTTGGGGGTAAGTATTAATTATTATTTTATGACTATGTAATTCTATTATTTATTAAGGTGTTCAAAATTTTGAATATTACATTTATGCCAAATGTTGAATTGCTGTGTTTATTATTTATATAATTATAACTTTCAATATTAGGTAAAATATTACTTACATTTAAATTTTTAAAATATATTTATTTAAAAATTACAGACTCCTTATTCATATTTCTCATAAACTTATTAAAATGGCAAATTTTATAAATTGCTTTTTATAACATTTTTATAAAATTGAACAAGTAGATAAGCGTTATTTATTCAATCGAAACACTATAAATATATATATATATATATATATATTACGATTAATTTAATTAAATTTTGAGATTATTTAATTATCATAAAGGCATTGATGTTATATTTACCGTGTATTAATAAACACATGATTGTATGCGTAAATATATATATATATATATATATATATATATATATATTATTAGTAAATAGCTGACAAATTCAGTCGTGGTGCGTCTAGCGTCTGTATAGGCGCGAGTGTGATAAGTCTATTTTATAATTGTCAAGTATGTTCTTATTGATAAACACTGTCAGTATTTCGTTTGTTTGTTTCTTGTTTTTTGTTTTTGTTTTTTTCTTAAATTTGTCAGTGTACCAGAGTAATTAGATATCAATGAAGGCCTAAGATGTGGAAAGAAAAATGATTTGTCTTAAATTTAGAAGAAAGCGTGAAATTAGACTGAATTAATAAAGCGAGGGTAAAGTAAAGCATTGGTAAGGGGGCTCGTCGTTAGCATAATTAATTAAAATAAGAAAGGGATAGCTGGAGAGCTGGAGGGCTGGAGGGGGAGCATATCGAGCCGACAACAATGGCTCGAAGCCTCCACCGAGTGCGATTATCAGTTCGTTTAGCGAGCTGTGGGTGTGGGTATCGGGGGTGGGGCGGCGGGGATCGACGGGTATTCGCGGTGACGGGGTGAGCGGGAGAGGGCTGTTAGGCCAGTGGGTGAGGGGGTAGGTTGAAGATCGCGGTGGTGGAGGAGACGTAGGGGCGAGGAGCGCATGAAATCCGCATCGGCCGTAAGAAGCCGGCCAATAATTTAAGGGAAAATCGGAGGCGGAAGAGGAGGCGCCGCCGTCGCGTGTCCTCGAGGGCCAGCCGACAAAGCCGCGCATGCCCGGAGGTCGCGCGCTTTTCCCTGGCACTCGGAAAGCCCGCGGTGCACGGCCGTGGGGGGATGGTCGCCACTCGAGGTGGGGACCGGCGAAATAGCGGCCACCCCTATCAGTGCGGCTTCGCGATCGCGCGCGTCACCTCCTCGGGAGCGCGCGGAAAAACCTTGGTAGCGAGTCACGCACGTGGTCCGTGCGTGAGTCGTGGAGCGAGCGAGGCTCGAGCGAGTTGAAGGAGAGTCGGGAATCGTCGGTCAGGGTGAGTTGGACGAGGAGGCTGCCCCGAAAGAGCTTGTTAGAAAGTGGTCAGGTTGTTTGGGGGTGGGTGGAAGGAACGTGGGGCCTATCGGAGAATCGATGGGGCAGGCAGGCAGGTAATGTCGTGCGGAGAAGCTTTTCATTTCGTAAACGCGCTTACGTGATTTATGTAAGAAGTTGGCCGGCGCGTTTACCGTTTGCCTCGGCTCCGTGTACGAAGAAGCTTCAATGTTTCATTGCACGACCGAGGCGTCTGATAGTTTTTCTTTGTTTTTGTTGGGTCGGTTGGGGCAGGATAGTGCGTCACACCGTCGAATGATATACAGTTAATGTTCAAGTTGCTGGGATTTGTTATGTTAAATTATAGTGAAGAACTGGAGGAATCGACGAATGATTTTATTCGGTTATATAGTAAATGTTAATTGTTGTTATTGCAGCAATATTAATTATAGAATGGTGGTGCCGTTTAAAGTTCGTTGAAAGGTATTATTGCGCGACTAATCTTAGGAAGAAATGTATGACTTTCAGCGATTTTATAATAATGAGTGATTAAATCTTATAGACAATAACATTGACAAAACTAGCATGTAGAAAATAATGAGAAAGAAAAATTGATGTATATCGTTCGAAATCTTAAAGTCTGCAGTTTGAAAGATAATGTAAGTACTAAGTAATACTGTTCTCATGTTTAATAACTTTGATATATAAATATGTTAATAATCGGTAAATTTAATTCAGCCGTTCGGCAAGATTGATTATGTTTTTGGCGTTTGATCGACGGCAATGTGTATTTAAAAAAAATTTTTGATTATATTGTAGTCGTATGGGCAAACTGATTGGCTCTTTATTACAACACGGTAACATAATGGAAATTTTGAAAATTGGATAAGCAACTTTGGCACTTTGGCAGGATCAAACGAAATAATGTTTCTTAATTGTCTTTCCAGTCTTCTATAATTTTAATTATTTATTATAATTATTAATTTAAAGCTGATTGGAATTCAGATTTCCATATAAATTAAATAATAACAACAACAACAACAATAATAATAATCGTAGTAGCAGTAGTAGTGGTGGTGGTAGTGGTAGTAGTCGTGGTACTAGTAGTTGTAGTATTTGTGGTGGTAGTGGTAGTAGTAGTAGTAGTATTTTGTAATATATACGCTGCATTTTAATAAAGAGTTTAAATTGCTCGTGAGATATTAGTTCTTTAACGCACGGTGGCTTGAAAAATAAAAGTTTAAATCACCTTCGTTGGAGATTTATAAAATCCGTCGCTGATTAAGAAAATAAACCATTATAATTACGGACTTTGAAGGCGAGTCCTAATTAATAGGGTAGGTGGCGTTGGGTTGGGGGTCGCAGTTGGTGTTGGGGGGGGGGGGTGGGGGGGGGGGGGGGGGAGGCGAACGAAGGTGAAGTAAGATGTGGCATTGAAAATACACCGAGGAGCCAGCTAATCGAAAGATTCATACATTTACGCTAATGCCAGAGAAAGAAAATGGGAAAAGCCGCTGGCGCTGTCGTCTGGGGCTTTTCTCCTCACGGTGGCCATCATGCAAAATACGCGCGTGACAATACTCGGGCATTAACTGCATGAAAGGTCTTCGTTAAACTTTATGCCAAAGCAATTCCACGCTCGGCTGCAAGATTCGCTCATCGCTCTCTTTCCTCTCTTTAGCCGACAGCATTGCGCATCCACTGGGTCTTGGGCCACTTGCGATCTGCCCACGCGAGACACGCAACGGTGGCAGTGACGAGTGACTCGCCCGGGCGACTTATTATCGACTTCTCGTAAACAAGGTCTCGCGTTGTGGGATCGAGACGCAAGGCACTTCGCCTATCTCCTCGACGACTTATCGCACGAAAACTAATGATGTCGGGATGCGTGGGGGAAGTGGGGAGGGGGGAGACTTATAAAGACCAGGAGTGTCATGAAGCCACGAGGAAGTAGGACTATTGAATTAGCGACCGATGTTGGCAGAGTGAAATGAGACTAGTGAGTGAAGCTGGTTTTCCGTGCGGAAGTTGGTGCGCAACCCCGTAAAGAGACACGTTGGTCTTCACCTGGGCATTATCGGGCTCGCCCGGAGACTATTGCTGGGCAAGACTCGAGTAATCTACAGTCTACCTCGAGGACGAGTCTTTTTCGAGTCTTTGAGTTAGTCTTGGCGACTAACGACCGATCAATTATTTAATTTATCATCTTTACAAAAAAGCCTTCTGGTAGGTTGGCGATGGAACGAATAGTCGATTGGATTGTCTTGTCCTTTTGCTCCACCATCATCGCCAATTTATATTTTTACGGCTTTAAGAAATTTGCAATACGCTGACTGTGTAATAATAATAATAATAATAATAATAATAATAATAATAATAATAATAATAATAATAATAATAATAGAGAGAAAATTAAGGCTTTAAAGTCCATCGTGTACTCTCTAGGTTCATGCACTCTTTTATTCAACGGGTAATTCTAATATTCTTGTTCTTCCACTTGTCCGTGACATATTTTTCACTTTAACTCTCCCTCATTATCGTAACATATAATATAATTTTTGACGCTCTGGCATTTTTGATTTTATGTTCTTATTACGAAAATGGCTTACACATTATTCGACACGCTTAGCTAAAATAAAAGTCAGTCTTGCATGCTTTCTAGCATTGTGGGAGGTTTCCTCGTTTGCATTGAATAAAAGTTTTCGTACTTATTTATGTTGATTTTTTAAATAACTGAGCGTAGTCGTGCCCATGGAAGATCGTTTTTGATGAAAGAGGACAACAGCGCAAACTAATCGACAATTATGAATCTGTCGTTCCATTATTTTTAAAAATTATACAATTATTAGCTCTATGAAATTTCCTGCTTTACATTATTTTTATGTGTGTAGCTTGAACTATAGGGATATTTACTGTAGGGAGTATTTAATTACAAAAATTCCAACGATTTTCACGCACAATGCTTAATTATCGCAATAGAAAATAAATAGATACGTTTATTATGTGCAAGCATCGTATATTTAAATATTATAACTTCGTCAAAGCTAATTTTTACAAAACTCAAGCTTTATTACATTGAATATTCCTGTATTATCATATATTTTGTAAAAAAAAAAAAAAAAAAGAAAAAAGAAATAGAAAAAAAGTAGAAATAAATATATAAAAATGTTGGAAAAACTTAATGGCCAATTTAATTTATTTTCGTTAGTTCAACATACTTTATGTTAATGTTAATTAACGTAATCACATTAGAGAACGCAACAGGAGCCTATAATAATATTAATAATTAATTACACTTTTACTTTATTAACTGAAATCTATGTTAATATACATTAAAAATATATATATTTGATAGGAGTAAAGGAACGAAGGACACTCGATACATATTAGTTCATATGACTGGAAATTTACAGTTTTGTTCTTTAGCAATAACATAAAATACTGTTAATTATCGTTTTATACCGCTATCCATTCTTTTTCTACATACGCGTCTTTTACTTTAATATTTGTTTCTGACTTTTATTTCCGGCATCGAATCAATTAAGTAATTGAGATTGAAAAGCCGCTCTATGCATACTTGGCTCGATTTGATCGAACTTCGTGATATGTTAGGCGTAGAGTAGCAATACTATGATTAAATTCTCCAACTGTCGCGTAATGTTTGCATGCATCCACGGTGCATTATTCGTTATAAATCAACTTTAAAATAATTGATAAATTCAAATAATGCCGGCAAGGCTCTTTGAAGACTCGAATCTTCGGGACTATCTTCACTATCCACATCCATCCCTTTGATACTCTACAATGCATTTATCAACATTTTCGGCGATTCTTTTACAATCAGGTCACATAAATTTGTCGAATTTAGAGAATTACTTTGATTTACTCCAAAGAAGAAAATGCGGATAAACGTAGCCCAGCTAAATATCCCGAGCATAAATCATACGTTAAATACGGCGCACCCATGAAAATCGACAGAGTACGTCAGCTGTTCGCTTAGGCCCATCCTCGTGGCCTCCTTTCTCACTCGCGCCATTGTTTTTTTTTTCTTTTTTATTTTTTTATTGCCAACCCACAACCTCGAATCTCCCCTCATAATCGACTCTCCTCGTTTCCATATATTTAAATTTGTTCTCTCGCCTTTATCGGCCCTACCCTCCCACCGCTACCACCACCACCACCACCACCATCACCACCACCACGACCAACTCTTCCCGACACTTCCGTCTTCACCCACGCCCGCTTCCTTTCCCGTGCTCGCTCCACTCGGCCGACACGAGCCGCTCTCCACCGCCACCATTCATCCAAGCGCTTTACGTGCAAATCAAACAATCAAATAATAATTTGAGCAACGGTTAATTACAAGCTCAAGCCTAACTTTACTAGTGGGGCTCGGGAGGGCTAGGTGAACGCGCCCTGCAACCAAAGTCATCCAAGATCCAATACGATTTCGTAAACTAAATCGTCAGATCCCGTAGTTGTCCATCCACCGGTGGCTTCCCATCTCCGATCCCCTCCTGATCGCCGCGTGATATCCGTGTTATGTGGTCGGGGAGGGGGGATGCGATACGGATTTGTCGGTGAGGACACGCACCGAGCGCTTAACGCACGATCGAATCACCGCGGTCTACCCGGGACGATGATTGAATGCGTCTTGTTGCGCATCGCCTTGTTTTATGATGCCGTGGTGATGTTGAATTCCGAGGTAACGGGACGAGCAACCGACGTCATGTCACTGTCCGGGTGCAATAGTACGAGATGGAGCGCGCGCGATGCACTCGTCAACTCTGTGACGTGTTATGGTGATTTGTTGATAAAAGTAGGTGGATAAAATCCAGTTTCGTCTCGTATTCTTGAGAGTTGTTCAACAGACCGTAAGCTCCTTTCAATAATAATTCCTGCACTTGGTCCCTAAAATTTCAAGTGTGATATTTGCAAGCTTTTGGCAATAGTCTTGAGGACCTTCTGAACTAGCCTCTCTAATACTTTCATTAATATTCTTGTTTCGATTTGTAACGATGTTGCTTGAGAATGTGTTGATGCGAGGTCGTGACGACGGTATTATTGCGCCAACTTGCCCGTTGCTCCTAATACCCGTAATTCTGGATATAAGAGATTCCGAAATATCTATAAAATGTGTATTTCCCGAGTAAAAGTACAAATCTTGAAAAAGATTCAAGTTTCCGGCTCGGAGTGTTCACTACCGTAACGGTCAGCTGAGCTGCGGACCGATGTCAGGTTCTTACGAGTTAAGGAGTCTCGCAAGAATTTTGCTCTTAGTTTTTTTATTTTACTGCGAGAGCTTTCCCATTTCCTAATAATCGATAGTATCCTACAATGTATAAATATACAATTAGATTAAAAAACCATATTAATGGCGTCACTTAATGTAGGCTCTTGTAGTACTCGAGGAGCTTAAGTAATATTAATCGATTATCGATTATTCTCCATAAAATCGAGAAATTGCGCATTTCCTGTTCACTTGAAATGTTTCGTTTGTGTCTGATTTTTAATTTTCATTCGCGAGCTTTGCACTTAATCAGTGAAATTTTCATTAAATTTATATCGTTTGATCATTGTGAAAAAGAGTCTTTCGAAAACTCAATAAACGACACTTTTTTTCTGAATAATAATGTGAGATAAATATTTTATTTTATTT